ATGGATGGATGGATGGATGGATGGATGGATGGATGGATGGATGGATGGATGGATGGATGGATGGATGGATGGATGGATGGATGGATGGATGGATGGATGGATGGATGGATGGATGGATTGCTCACAGTTGGCTCTTACTTATGACCAATTGTGTGGCTTCTGAAGGTACTGGTTGGGGCTTCAAAGCAACGGGGATGAATACACATGCACATACCATTTTGGAGTTTTATAGACATTTTTAAAAATCCAAATAAATTCCAAGTTAAGAAGCTGCAAAATGGAAAAATTACCTAGAGGGATGAAAACTGTAAAGATGCAACCCACTGTAAAAATGATTCATACCATGCATCTTGTTCAACTACAGTGTAATGGCTGTTTGAGTGAAAATCATTGCCCAACCCAGACGTTAATGGACCAACGATGCAAACCGATTAGGGCTACATTCACCACTGTAACCCATTTTCAGGGCTGAATGTTTATAGATAAAATGTCTGGTAATAAATCATGTCAGAGATATTGCCTCCATCCAGCTATCTATCCCTTCAGCCCTTCGTCTATCTCTCTTTCACACACTTCCACAAAAACTGCTGACAAGTAAAACATCTCTATGTCTGGAGGAATGAGTCTCCCAGACCTGATTTAATAACTACCCAACTATTTTTCTACCACTCTCCTCTGGTTACATGCATATATTGTAAAACAAGTTTGCATGTGCGCCTGCATGCATGCTTACTGTATGTGCATGTGTGTAAATGTAATTTCCCACAATGCTTTGCAGTGCCAGAGCTCTCTGTGACGTCATTGTCACTCTGGGTGACAAGAGGAAAACAAAGAGGCTTTCCTTCCTGACAGTCTCCAATACAATGGGGAGCCACGCTGGTTTAGGTAGCACAGGAAAAGCTCCCCGGTGGGTTCAGGCTCAATGCTGTGTGTGCAAATACGTGTGTGCGTGTTTCACAGTTTTTTTTTTAATGGGCTTGATTTTATGCCTCCAAAGGGTCATAAATATAAACAATGGACAAACAACAAAGTCTGCAGGAGTTGGTGTGTTAGTAGGAGGAAATAGAAGTTAATATGAGGAGCAGGTGGACTCTGAGCTGCAGGCGACAATCAGAAAGCAGAAGTTGAAAGTATCCTATGGACGTCTTGCAGGTAAAATAACAGAATTGAATACCTGTCCTAAACAAACTGCCTAAATGATATGTCAAGAGAGGGAGAAGTGAAATAAAGCTTTTTTAAAGTCACAGTTGTTAGCTCTTAAGTGTTAAATACAAATAAATAATGAAAAGCTAACCACTTTAAGGAATGCAGATCACTTGATATCTTTCCTGCCAGAGTTTTAAACTAAGATTATTTTCACTGAAGTCAATTTCAGGATGGATTGAATCCCCCCACCCCCTACCCCCACTAGCAAAACAGGTTATCCCGCTGGGTCAGACTCTCATCCATGCGCAGCTATTTACCAGAACCGCATGACCCTCATCACCTCTACTCCAAAACATGCAGTCCCTGCAGCCCTCCCCATGGCCAGATAGATGTTGGTCTGTTTGGGCTGTGCATGGAGGTCTGGAGCCTGGCAACTTTCGATCTGGGCCTGAACATCAGACCTGCAGACCCAGACCCAAGGAGGGAGACAGATCTCCCTTCCAAGAGGGAGCGGCAAGTTGAATGTCTCCTCTCACCGTCAAGACTTCTGAGGGGTTGGAGCACCTGGAAGCTATGAGAAGGGTTGTGGTAGCTTAGTGATCAGTGTCACAATCTTGTAATCCAGAAGTTGCAGGTTCGAGCCCTGGTCATGTCAGGAAGGGTATCAGCACAAAACAATTGCCAAACATTTCATAGAAATTTGCTCGCTGTAGCAACTCCTAAAATAGAGAGAAGCTGCAAAAAGGTTTTTAGGCCACCCACGGTCAAGCAACAGGCTATATCAAAGAGACAGTTTTGATTTATGAACCAGGATAACCCGTCAGATCCTTTGGTTCCTTTCTTTTAGCTGTCCCACACAGCAAAACAAGAACATTTAGAAATTCTGGTTTTAGTTGCTATGCTTCGAGATTATGGAACGAAGGATCCTTAATTTGAACACTTTTGAACGTAGACTAAGGAGCCATCTGTTCAGTTCTGCTGTGTTCAGTTTCTGCAAAGCTTTTAATTGCATTTGACATGTATGGCAGTAACTACAGAAAAAAAAACTTGATTGGTTAATTTATTTTGAGAATTGACAGTCAAACCATGAAGGTTATATTCAATCACATGCAATATTACAAGTCACAGGCTCAGATCAATGTTGAGGATGTCTTAGCTACTATGACATCTTATTTTAGCTCAATTTCATTAAAAAAAATTGAGTTGTAACAATTTTGACTAAGGTTCAATTCAATTCAATTCAATTCAGTTTATTTATATGGCACCAAATCACAACAGAAGTCATCTCAAGGCACTGAACAGAACTATTCATATATAAAATAATAATATGCTGGTGAAGATTCTCAGTCATCCAGAACATGATAAATTCAAAAAACGTTCAATACAAAAACAACTGGACTTTATTTGTAACAAATCTGTTACAAATAAAGTCCAGTTGTTTTTGTACTGAACATTTTTGAATAAAATAATTTAACACTATTTATCTGAGGAGCAGACTGCTTTGAATTCAACTCCATCGCAGAACTCTCATCTTGAGCAAGCATGAAGGTGACAGTGGAAAGGAAAAACTCCATCATGAGGAAGAAACCTTTAGCAGAACCAGGCTCAGGACAAGCAGCCATCTGCTTTGACCAGCTGGGTTTGAGAGGATCAAGAAGGAGGAATGGATACACAATGGCTGGTCGAAAGTCACACGTTAAGATAGAAATAGTATCAAATGAAAACTATTTAATTTTAACAATTATTTTAAGAAATATGGTCAACTTGTCCCCAGTAGTCTAAGCCTATGGCAGCATAACAATCCAACCCTAACTATAGGATTTATCTGAAAGGAAAGTCTTAACCCCAGTCTTAAAACTGAACAATGTGTCAGCCTTATGGACAGAAACTAGAAGTTGGTTCCACAAGAAAAGAGCCTGATAACTGAAAGATCGTCCTCCCATTCTGCTTTTGGAAACTCTAGGAACCACAAGTAAGCCTGCAGTCTAAGATCAAAGTGCTCTGTTAGGAAAATATGGAACAATAAAATATGTAATAAAAGATGGAGGTTGTAGAGAGCTTTGTAGATTAGAAGTAAGATTTTGAATTAAATGCTGGATTTGACAGGGAGCCAATGGAGAGAAGCAAAAACTGGAGAGATACGATCTCTCCCACTAACTCCAGTTAAGACTCTTGCAGCAGCTTTTTGGATTAACTGAAGACTTTTTAAAGAAGTATTTGGACACCCAGATATTAAACAATTGCAATAGTCCAGTCTAGACGTGACAAATGCATGGACCAGTTTTTCTGCAACATTTTTTTGATAAAATGTTTCTAATTTTAGTGATATTATGCAGTTGGAAGAAGGAGGTTCTAGTAATGTTTTTAATGTGGGGGTTAAAATACATGTCCTGATAAAAAATAACAACAAGATTTTTAACATTGGTTAAAAGGTTGATTAGCAGTCGCCACCATCTTGATTTGGGTTGTAGGTGACAATCTACTTTAGTTTCATGGTTCATGATAAAATTTGCTAACTGACATGAACATCATCAGTCTTTTGTGACAAAAATAAATGTGAGGAAGAAAATACTTCAAAGAGGAAAAT